TCTTTGGTGTAGTAGCGCATAGATTAATCTAATCGAAGCAAAGCAGTAATTATTGAAAACTCCTAGGACATCTATCCATAGTCGCTATGGGCTGCCGTCTGCTAATTCATCTCAAAGTGTGGGCGAAAATGCATCCATTTCAGGAATGTATCATACAGAATCGTCTAATGGATATGTTCCCACAAACGGGCGAAGGTTGGATCTCTGCGTCAAATGCTCCAAAACGTCTGCATTTATAGGTATATATTTGCTGTCTTATCGCTTACTCTTCCATTTGTTTTTGAATCATTGAACTCTGTTTAGGTCAGTCTAAAACACCTTACTGTGAAGAATGTTATTTAGTTCTGGTTAAAGGAAAATTCAGAAGTACTATCAGCAAAAGAAGAATTTTTAAGGTTTTCGTTGTTTACGATTTGTTATGATTATGTCAATAATTGTATCCAAAGGACAGAGAGAGGAAAGTCCTCGTCATATTGGATGGGTCAAAGGAGTCTGCTTTTCTCTTCCGGCAAGTCGAAGACGCTATGAAACAAACAAATTTCAAGCGGCTTATACTTGAGCCTTCAGTGAGTCATTCTTCATAGCTACCTGTAAGAAGTACACAGTTTCGCTTACAGTTCATATTTCTCGTGTCTGCGGATATGACTGATGTACGAGTTGTGGAGGAACACTTAGCAGTTCTTCGACAAGCACTGCCAGGGTCGTATTATATGGTTCATCTGGCAGCCATTTTTGGTGATATCCAAATGGTCGATAATGGCACGTGTTCTGGGCTTCAACATGTTTGTTTTAATCCTTCCTCCCTACCACATTTTGTCGCACTTTCATCATGCTCAAATACTAAAAATTTTGCCCTCTTTAATCGGACTTATTTTTCTTATAGGTTACTCAACTAAAGGAATTTCTTGCCTCATTTCGAACAGCTGTTTCTCGTGAAGAAGCCGTACGCATACTGAAGGTTCGGCTCCTTCAAAAGTTGTCGCGACATACGGAAGTGCCAAAGGTGCCCTTTACACCAACTTCTCGATTTTTCAAATGTTATTATTATGTAGGTGATGCTACCATGCAGTAGTGATGAACTTGCACAGCTAATGATTTCCCAACTCTGTCTTGGAAGAGGTAGGAGAATTTTTTTCGTGTTTCTCTATTTGTTTGTAAATGTCTGCATTACGGAATGGAGACCACGAAAATAGGCTTTTTTTTTTGAACGAGCTCTATACCAGATTGTAGAGAATCCGACGCTGTTTCTAAATCTGCCTTCACCGCTGCGCGCTGGGCGCAGTGTTCTGAGTGTCCGAGGTGAAATGAGAGCACATTGTCTGCATAAAATCAGTGTTTTGGGTCCTTCCGACGCTCAGTGAGAGTGGGAATATGCTGGAAAGAAGCCATCCATGGCATGAAGTGATTTGTTATTCTACACTGACCCATTTGAACAATTTTGAATGATTTTGGTCTGATTCGCTTTCAGTATGACCCAGATACTGAAGACAGATTTGGAATTTGACTTTCTGCAAGTTATAGAGCTCA